AGGCATGGCTGGTGAGCATGTAAGCTGGTGAGAAATTTGGCCCTAATTATCAAATCCATCTACTCTGGGACCGAGCCTAGTGATTCCATTTCTAGGAATCCATCCTACAGAAATGCTTATACATGTGCAAAATGATGAGGATATATACAAGTTAGTTATTGCAGGTTTCTTCCAATTAGCAAAAGATTGGAAGTAATCCAAATGTGCATTATATTAAAGGGACTGGCTAAAAAAAATTGTACATCCATACACCCTGCCCTACAACGTTTATGCCTTTCCTTGTCTTCTTTAACAGGATTAATATATCTTGGTTCCAAATTCAGCATGGCATTTAATGGAGACCATTAGAGGCACTCCCACCAAGTCAGGAGCAAGAGCGATGGCTCACTATTAGCAGCACGATTTAAGAATGTGCTGGAAGTGCCAACCAATGCAATCTGGGAAGACAAGCCAGAGGTATACAAATCTGAAAGGAGAAAGTAACACTTTCACTATTAGAAGATAAGATTGTCCACATACCTGGAAAATCCAAGCGAATCATTGGAAACAACCACTACAAACAGCAAGAATTTGTGAATTCTCAGTGAACAAAATTCAAACACAGAAATCAACAGTCTCACATCGCTTGCTGTTCCGGGATGATGGGCCGCCAGTCAAACCAGGGAACCCTGTGAGCCCAAGCCCAGAGCGGCACTTCATTTGCTGTAAAATGAGGTGTTTGAGCAGAAGCCGTGCTGTGCAGAACACCACGGTGATGACTTTGGTATTTTGTAAGTCAGCTTTTGGCAGAGATGTTCTGGGCAGCTGGTGTCTGTGGGTGCCTGCTCCAATCCAGCCCTGTTCAGAGACAAGGGAGTGGCCCCGCCAGCACGAACACAGCCCCATCAGGAAGAAATACAAGCAGTCCTTCAGTTAGAAGGGCCAGGCTCAGTGCAGTTGATGTGAAATGTTGGGGTTTGGGAGGGAACAGTTGAAAGAATTTTTGAGATGTTTTCGGTGCAAGAAAGGTGGTTTTATTAAAGCACAGGGAGAGGACCCGTGGGTTGAAAGAGCTGCATAGGGTCGTGAGGAGTGACTGATTATATACTTTCAAGTTGGGAGGGGTTAGGGACAGCGTGAGTCTCTAAGGAATTTGGAAGCAAGGTTCCAGGACCTTGAGGGGCTGGCTGCTGTAAGGGTAAATTCATTTAGTACCATCTGGTAAAACCTTAGTCAGGAGACCCTTCAGATGGACATCAGGGGGCCCATAAGCTTGGAGGATGACTGCTAACATATATCTTGGGTGGGGGTGGGGGCGGGCTGGTAGAGATAAAGGACATTTCCCGACGAGATTTTTACATGTTAAAGAAGACTTACAGGATCCTGGAGGTCAGGCTAATGTCAAGCTAGGTTGTCTCTTGCCTCCAGCCAAGTATTCACTTTGAGGCCGTTGAGTTCCTGGCAGAAGGTCACTCTGCTTTTCTCAAGTATTGTCAATGGGCTGTGAAGGAAATTTAATTATTTTTTCTTCTACATTTCTTTTACCTTTTGTTCTCCATATCCGGGATGAGTTACTACCTGGGGTGGGGCTGTGGAGGCTGTGGTAGGGGGAGGTGGGAACACTTGGATTACAGGAGGGGAAGTTGCTGGGGGTGCAGGGAGACGTCAGGTTGTCCTTACGAGACATGTGACTTTCTGCAAGGTGCTAACCTGTTTCTTCATCTGTTAAAAGGGGACCATAATAATCTACACACAGGGCATGCTAAGCGAAGCGTGCATGGGAAATAATCACAGTGCCTAGGACAACGGACTGTTGGGAACTGGTACCATTTACCGCCAGCCTCACCGACAGGGACACCTCCAGCACGGAGCCCAGGTCTGTACTTGCAGAGTCCGGGTGAGTGAAGGTTACCCGACCACTGGCCTGAGCCCCCACTGACTACATTTGAACCCCCAATCCTCCAGGAGGTCTTGCTTCGTCCCTGGCCTTCCTGGGATGCTACAGCCCCACCCGAGCGCTCCCGCTACCCTCTGCACACCTCCCTTCACACCTCCCTTGCTGTGTCCTGGACCTTGTCCCCTTCAGACTGTGAGTTCTGGGAGGGTGCTGCCTTGGGCTTCCTGCTCACCTCTACCAGGCAGCTGTTTTTTTGCAGCTGACACATCAGAGAGCTGCTGGGATGGAGATGGATTATTTGTCCAGGACACTTGAGCTTGAGTCAGAACGATCTGAGGGGAGCTCCATGTCAGGGTCATGTGGAACTAGGCCTGGGTAAGTGTCAGGGCTGACACTTTCAACTGGCACCAAACAGGACTGTAGCCAAGGGAAAGCAGACCCAAGGCCCAGGGGCAGGAACAAGGGAAAATGAGAAACACTAAAACACAGACTACCCAGGTCTCTGCCAGGGGACAGAGCTCAAAGAAGAGAAAAAGTCCTAGGCTGGACTAGTCCCAATGCCCTCTGGCAAACTGTGTGAGCAGATGTGTCTTCTGGATGTGGACTTGCACTCCCTGTCCATAATGCTTTTCCTAGCACAACCACCCGTGGACTGATGGAATGCCCTATTTACCAGCATGGCATTCTACATAGTACTTGTAATTAAAAAAACTCCTTTCACAGCAAATGAAGTCAGGCCATGGACTTGTGATCGCGTACCTCACAGGTTTTGCCACATCTCTCAACACATGGCTCCACTGGGTTGCACACTGAGGCTCACCTGGCTATTTGGGGCTCATCAGGACACTGAACCAACAAGCTAGTCAGGGGATTATTCTACTGGCTGGGGAATAATCCGGAGGGGAAACATGTATGCTGCTACATGACAGGGGTGGGGAGGACTGTGGCTGGAGCCCACAGTCCTCCCCTCTAGGTCCCTCTTAGAAATTGCAACGATGAATGGAAAACTAAAAAAATAAAGGCAGGACAATTAATTCAGACCCTTTAGGAATAAAGGTTTGATCAACCATGCCAAAAAAGAACCCAGCTGAGATCCTGGCTGAGGGCAAAGGAGACGTAGACCAGGTAGTGGAAAAGGCAGTTATAATCAACTCCAGAAGCGCGCGCGCGCGTGCACACACACACACACGACTTCCTTCTCAGTATCTCATGCAATTTCTGTTGGAAACTAACTTTACTGTTTAGTGTTTAGGTAGCATTCTGTGATTCTATATTCTATTCAGACAAGACTATGACTGGATAGGAGCAATCAGCATGACCCAGAGATCCACACGATTGCTGGGCTTTACGTTTCCTCAGTTTGGGAGAGAGTTAAGTCCATCTTCTTACAATGAGTTGCATCTTGGACAGAAACGGAGTAGCTTTTGTGATAATATTAAAGTTCAAATACATGTGGAAGGCCGTGTATGGACGCTGTGCAGCTAAGGGGCAGGGCTGTACCAACCACAAGACCTTGTCTCTCAGCTTCACACCCAGCATTTTTAACTGTTTTTGTGCAACTGGCCACAGCACTCTGCAAACATTTCTGCTTTGCTCGCTGGTATCCTGTGGGATTTCTCCAGCAGGATGCCCGGGAGGGAAGCCTCAGTGCTGGAGGAGGAAAAGGGACCCCAATCCTTCCCGTTCCTACAGCATGACCCCTTTGCAGCTGCAACTCCATCCAGGGGCTCTCCATCTTCAACACACTCAGAAGCAGCTCTGGCATGCCCATCATGCCCGTCAGGCCCGCAGACACCCCAGCACCAGGGGAGTGGCTTCCATCCTGAGGCAGCTCATCCTGGGGCTACTGTCTTCTTGATTCTTCCTTTCTTTTTGCCTTTTTACTTACTGTGTCAAAAATTCTATCCTATTGTTAACATTACTTTCATGTGTTATGTCTTCTATTTGGACCATGACTGACAGACATAGGAAGTTTCTATGTATTGAAATGGAAAAGAAATGGACTGTCAAGTCTGCATTGTTTTAAATCCTTCATCAGCTGAGGCTCTGCAATGTTTCTTTCTCCCTTGGTATTTCACACGGGCACTTGGTGATTTCTTCAAATTCTAATCCTTCGAATTTCCTTCCGGTCCAATAGTTCATGTTGAGAACAGAAATGAACAGTATTTTGATATTAAAACTTTGTATCAAAAACACTTAAATGGAGTTTTGGCAATGATTAATAACCAATGAGAGAGTATCTTTAGAACACGTTTATGTCAATGACCCCGCATTGTCTGAACTATCCCACAGGTTTTGTTCTGGAATGGATTTAAAAGCCCTGTGCACAGAGGGCAGACTGAGCCGCCACAACTACCAGCTTCCCCACTTCCCCGTATGAAAGAGTCCACAGCCTGGTTCTTGTGGATATTTTCCATTTTATTACTGCAGTAGACAACTGCTCTGAAAGTGCAACACCAAATCACTTTGTCACAGCGTCTGCTCCTCCACTGGCAAATTCTGGGAAGTTCATTCTTGGAGCATCGTGGACCACAAGCTTCTCTCGAGGTGGAAAATTATTGCCACTGCCAATGTCACAGGAAAAAACCCCACACACATGAATAGAAGGACAAAATGAGAAGAGCACTGGAGAGGAGGAGGGGCCAATTTCAAATGGAAAACCCAGCAGAGGGATCATGGGGAAACAGCCCGCCTGTGCAAAGTGGAAGGTGACTCCCCGCCTCCTGGAAGCAACCTACATGTTTGTGAGGTTGGCCTGGGTGCACCTCTCACCCCTTTGTCCCCAGGTGAGACCATTACCACTGCCATGCCACAGCTCAGTGTAGCAGAGGCCCATGGAGTCAAAAAGAAATGAAAGGACCTCTCAAGCTAGCTTGGAAAATGGGTGGTTTGGCTAAACTGACTCTTTGACCTCCCACTTAAAGCTGCTGGGCGGAATATCTGGGAGAGCTCTGGGGGGAAGACACTGCCTAAGAGAAATAACTCTTGTTCTAACCAGCACAAGGGTCAGCATCTTTTGATGGTAAAAAACAACTTTCAAATACTGCAATGACAAGGAGGAAGGGAAACATGAGCAGCTCTAGAAAACACAAGAGATTAAAAAATCTGAATGAGACCAAAAAAAGCGCAAAAATATGAATACAGACAATACACCTAAGCACTCAGCCTGACAGAACCCTCCCTCATGAACACATTATACACATACGCACCCGCTCGCACACATGTTAATAGTCAGGCAGATGCCCCAAGGAGGGCAAATCCAAACGTCTGCTCTCTTTGGGATTCTCATGGCAAATCTGAGTGTAGGCAAAAGTGAAGCCCTTCCTGGGGTCTAGACAAATACTCAGGAAGCAGCCTTTGCTCCCCATTTTAGCCAATGTTGCTCCTATATTTGCCTGAGCCCTTCACAACTGTCTGGGCACTACAATTCATTCTTCATACTCCTGGAGTTTAAATCACTGCTAGATCTTCTTCTCTGTAGATCTAACTTCACCTGTAATGGAAGCACCTCCCTTTTGGCTCCTGTACTCCCGTTCTTTTGGGGGAAAAAGCATCCCAAGACAGTGGTAATTAGAAGGTGTTCGGGAGTTGGAAAGTAGGAAGAGAGTAATATAAATACAATAAGGAAATGCCTGTTACTCTCATATGATTTCTCTGAGACCAGGTGGCTAAGGGCCTGGCCTTCAAGGATAGGTTTTAGGAGAGGCCTTAATTTAAGGTACTGCGATCTCTGCTCACAAGAGCCAAGTAAGACAGTGCTCCTTGGAGGTTGCTGTAGGACTCGTACTCAGTACTTATTTCAATCCTAGGTGCTCTTTTGACCTCTCTGACTTCAGTCCTTCTGGAGTCAGGTCACCTGGCTTCTCTGATGCATGACCGTCATTTTTAAAGCATGTTTGGCAGTGGCCTACGAGAGGTTTCTGTCTGGGTATCATGGATCAGCACACACTAACTAGCGTATCTACCAAGTGATACGGATGGAAAGCAGGTTTCCTCAACCACTGCAGACGGGCACAGCCATGCAAAGAAAGCTACCCATCACGGTCACCTTTTCGTCAGATGCCCCAGTTTCGGGATCATAGAATTCACCACATGAAGTGTTAATACTGGGTGACAACCAAGCCTTTGCTTCCCTTCCTCAATGAGGGTCATGCAAGAACCCACAGAAACAGGCTGGACACACAGGCCCTGCTCATCTGGTTTCAGACATTGCCCTCAGCTCCAAATCCTGCACTTGGAACCGCTATTATAACTTAGCTCCTAATCACACTGGATTCTGCTCCAGTTTAATTTACCAAGGCATACCTTCTGAGCCGCCTCAGTGAAACCAGTGTGGCCCACTGGCTTAAATTTCTAAGTGCAGCAGTGCCTAAGAAGAAAGAGTCCCACAGGCGGGAGGACTGGAGGGCATAAGGCAGGAGACTATACACAATCAGTAACACATTTTCAGAAAATGGTGGGCTTGGGGGAAGAGGGGAGAGAAATAAACAAAATGTCCCAATAATTTAACGGCAGAGCTAGAAGAGAGCATTTATAGCTATTCCGGGACTCTCCAACAAAAAGCTTTTCCTGGATGCACAGACATTCATAATACTGATAACTCTCAGTTGACAGCTCTGGCTTGTACACGTGGTCATGATGCCCTTTGTACAGCAGAGAAGAGCACAACAGAACGCCCGACAGGCATCTGGACAGCACACAGCAAAACGAAAGGCTGAACTCCCCCCACCCCGACAGAATCCCATTTAAAAAAAAGTTTGTCTATTACAAAGTCACGTTTTCTGTTTTTCCGCTTTATAAAGTCAGCGATGCTGGAGGGTGTCTAGCGGAATCCGTCCTCCAGGAATGAGTGCAAAAGGGGAGCACACGGCTCAGGGACGTCCCTTCAGTGAGCAGATGGAAGGACCAGCTGGAGACCTCCCATCCATTTCGGACAAACACACACAGACAGAAAAGGATTATTGCCAGCTTGAGTACTTTCACAATGTGATTTTTGTATTTCGAAAGCTTGAATTGTCCCTGAAAGAAAAAAACGGGAGAAAACAGAGCATTCAATACACAGATCTTCTACAGGCAACAACACACATACGGGGCGGGGGCAGGGGCAGGGGCAGGGGCAGGGGTAGGGGCGGAGACCTGAACTCAGCAGCTCCAGGGCCCTCATGACACACCCCAAAATTTCCTTCCTTGCTAATCTAATGCCAACATAGCAAACCACCTCCCAAGTCCCTTTGAACACTTCAACTCAACTATTTTCAAGAGCCAAAGATTAGAAACAACCCACATACCTAGCAAAAGGGCACTGGTTAAATATGACTATTATGGCACATTCATTCACTGGGACACTTGTGCAGCTTAAAAAAACAAGCCAAGGAAGCTCACTACTAATATGGAAAACTTTCCAAGAGAAACTGAGAAGGCATGGAATAGTGTACGTACATAGTACACCACCTTTTGTGTAAGTGGGGGTGGGGGAAATAAGGTCATAGTTCATATCGCTTGTACGGACATAAAGTCTGTAAGGCCACACAAGAGACCAACAACAATGGTTACGTGGGGCAGTGGAGGAGGGAAAGGAGGGCACAGCAGAACTGAGCAGATGCAGTTAGAGTGGGGAGGAAACCCCCTTTTTTCTCACACACACACATATGCACACATACTTAAAAAAAAAAATCAAACGATGTGATTATATCATGTATTCAAAAAAATCAACCTGCCAATCAACCAAAAAACTCTGTTCAGAACGTATAGCTACTTATAAAAGGATATTCCACAGGTGAAATACTCATAGCCTTTACTTTAGACACTTAGCTATAATTCTTAAAAGAGAAGCATGTGTGTATGTAACACATGGTAAGTCATGTTCTCTTAGTTGCCTTCTCTTGGATGTAGACAGGCTTGGCCACCCACCAGAAACCTTTCCTGTTCCATACTAGAAATCCAACATCTCAGCATTTCACATTGCCATTTGAATCCCACAGTCTTAGGGCTGGAAAGGGCTTTAAAGATCACCTCATCTGCTGCTATAGCTCAGAGCTTCAGACTTTAAAGTATCTGAAATTCTAGAATAGAAATTCTCATTAATCTGATTTTTGAGTCATTACTTCCCTTTAGTTTTAGTGGGATATTCTAGAAGCCTTAGCTTTAACTGACCCATCTTAAAATTGCTACAACTTATTGGGCCTATGGCTATTGGTGCAGAGTACATATGAAAGAATACGCTCAGCCCAAAGAGCAGTCTCCAGTTAGCATAACAGATTCTCCCCATGATGGCAGCAGGCTGCCAGGAGAGAACAGCCCTCAATACACAAGGAGAATGACTGTGGACAAGTACACTGAGAGAGGAGACCAGAGCTGGTGTAGGTGAACTCTGGCTGGGAAGAAACTGATGTTATCTCAACAGACCACTAGTATTTTTATAACTGACATGTATGACCATGTAGCTCATTTATCCATGGCTACTGAGCATTTTGAAGATTTCCACCTAAGGAGGTAAAGACTAAACACAAAGAAAAACTTAATGGGGTGATGATCATCTTTTTAAAAGGTCTTTCAAAAGGACAGATCCCACTGAGGTGCCACAAGTAGCTAGCCAAGGATGAATAAAGATGTATCTGATTATAAAACAGACAAGCGGGTGTAACTGATGTGTGTGTGTGACTTCTGAGTCCCCTTGGGGATGATGTACTACTGAGACCGTGTCAGAGAAGCCCTCTACTAACAAAAGAAGTGATCAGGAAGGAATGGTTTGCTCTGTTCCCTTTCTTCCCTTTTGATGCCCCCTCTATCCCCACAGAGCAACTGGATCACAAAAGTCAATCAGCAGGGAGAGATAAAATGAGTAAATAGGCGGGGTGTGGGACGGTAGCATCACAGGATTTTCTGACTGGGAAAATGATTTATCTTGGAGTAAGAGAGATGGCAGGCAAGCGTCTCGACCCAGCCTTTCATCTGTTTAGTGATGAAGAGGAAAGAACTTTCTGGACAAGTCATCACTGTAAGCAGGTCACCTTTATCTTTCGGAAGAGTCCCTGTACTGTGCGGGGCTTGGGCCACAGACAAATTTTCTCTCTGTGGCAGGTAAACTAAAGAGCTCTATAATACTTTCCTATCCAGATATTTACTATTTATTCTAAGTACTTCTATTATCACAGATCTCTTCAGGGTCAGAAAATCTAAGAAATCACAATTATTCTAAGGCTTATTTGTAATGTGGAAATGGGGAGAAGAGTAAGGAGCCAGAAAAATCTAGCTGAGCTTGTCCAGAGTTTGATATAAAGGAAAACAAAGAGCAATGAGAACGGGTGACAGGCTCCTGACAATGACAGGCTGGTGGCAGCTGGTGGCTCTGGTCCAGCTTTTCTAAAAAAAAAAAAAAAATGGGCTGAGAACAGCTCGCTGCCAAATTTAGTCTGAGGAATGCGTTCAGCTCAGACCAGCTGAGAACTAATCCACGGTTCCGTCCCTCATCCCGGGGCTGCAGTGCCAGAGAGATTAGGAGACACAGAAAGGGAGGAGGAAGACAGGAAGTGGCAGAGGTCACAGGCAACTTTTAAGTTTTTAAAAAAGATGGTCTTCTGTTCTTTTAAAAGCAAACTATAATTTAGAAAATCCAGAGTGAGCTCCTAAAAGTTAGCCCCTCTAGCCACCCAGCAATGTTGTGATGGTGCATGGGTGACCAGGAAGGGTTTTCTGTTGTTTTTGGTTTTTTTAATGATACAACAGATCTTTTAGAAGGAAAAAAGAACATTTTTACATCCTCATCTGTGAATTTATGTAAAATAAGCAACTGGGACTGGGCCTAGTGTACTGATTTAAAGGGGCTTTTCAGACATCAGTTTTTCCTCTGTATCTTAATTTATTCCCGAGGATTTTTACACATCAGGGCACAGAAGGCGAAAGACCCACAAGGCTAGAGAAGTCAGAAAGATGTGCTCTACTGGATGACTCTTTGTCCTGATAGTGGGGCCTCAGAAATACCAGAGCCCTAACCAAATTGGCTGCCAGCTTCACGTTCCCAGGCATCTTAGGCAAATCCATTGCCCAAATACTCTGAAATAGCTTTCTAATCTGCTCTGCCTCCCCATAATCACCTTTTTCATCCTTCTAGAGAAAAGGACAAGTTCCAACTCTGGGAAGAATAAGCTGAGGTAGAGGCTGGCTCTTGAGGGTGGACAACAGGGAAGCAAGGTGGCTGGTTCCTCACAGGAACGCCTCTGTTCTTGTAGGAAGGTATCGCCGTGCTCCTGCCCAGGAGGGGCAGCACAGTTGTTCTGGGGCCTCAAGGGAAAACTGAGGAGGAGCCCTACCTGACTCTGCTCTGGAGGGGGATCTGAGAGTACACTCACGATTCAGCTTACACACGGTCTTCCAAGGAACATTCTCTGTCAGCTGTCCACCCCGGGCCAGCTCTGGCTTCCTCCCCTCTCCCTCACTGGATATTAAATAAAATTGCAAACCCTTCCTAGGTTCAGTGGGGCAAGTTTCAATCTCTAATCTCCCACTGAGTGCCAACTTCATTCCCCAACAACATAGATCACTGCTCTGCGCTTGCCAGGCCAGACATATAAGTAACCCTAAATCCTCCCCAGCAGCTAACCGGGACTTCTGTTGAAGCCATGGTTAAAAGTGCAATACTGATTTGTAATGCAGATCAAATGAAACAGTTCTAGAATATTAGCAGCTATATGTAATAGCATAAGATATCAGATAAACTGAGGGGAAGTATTTGTGGTTCAAGAAGAATTACTTAAAAAAAAAAAAAGAATTACTTAAATAGCAGTTTTTATTTCTCCCCAGATGACGGTCTACTTGGAAGGGGGAGAAGAAAAGGTGGAGTGGATGAGGAGCTATGAGCTGGAGGTACCCAGCCTCTTAGAGCACCTCGTCCAGGCGTAAGGTGATAGGAATGAAATTGGAGTCCTTTTCAGGTCTTTAGGACAATGAAATGAGGTGATTTTTTTTTTGTGTAGACGCTAATACTCCTCTCAGACTTCCGAGGCCATGGGCTTCAAGAACACCTAGGGGGCACCTAACTGGCTCAGTCGGTAAAGCATCCGACCTGATCTCAGGGTGGTGAGTTCAAGCCCCACGTTGGGCGTGGAGCCTACCTAAAAAAAGGGGGGGGAAACACCTAAATTATGTAGTGCTCATGAAGTGCTTTCTTCAGCTGCCGGATAAAAAAGATACAGGGGCAGCAAAAAGAACAAAGAGACTGCAAAATGGCAATGATATAAAACGTGACTTCAAGGCAATTCAGTTATCTTTCCCGAGGGATTCATTGTTAGCGAAGGGGGAGGGAATAGTTTTAAGTTTTCTCCCATTCTGACTCTTCCAATTTCATTTTAAAGCCTTTCCTCCCCCTTCATGGAACATAAAATAACTACTGATTTTTAAAGATCCCATTGTTTTACGTACTCTAAGTAAATATTGCCAATTAAACTATGTCAAAATTTTTTTAATCATATTCACTGTAAGCACCCTGATTTTAGGGATATTAAAAAAAAAGGAATCCTACAAATAATCAAATATGGTAATGTTATTAAAACAATTCCAGGGCGCCTGGGTGGCTCAGATGGTTAAACATCTGCCTTCGGCTCAGGTCATGGTCCCGGGGTCCTGGGATCGAGCTCCACATCGGGCTCCTGATCAGCGGGGTGCCTGCTTCTCCCTCTCCCTCTGCCTCTCCCCCTGCTCATGCTTGCTCTCTCTCTCTCTCCTCTGTTATCTTTGTGTCTCAAATGAATAAATAAAATCTTAAAAAAAAAAAAACAACCAATTCCATTATAGTGCCAGGGCTCTGGAAATCTGACTTATTTTTCATCCTGCAAATCAGTGTAGCCAACATTACAGCCCACACATGTTTTTCATCCCTCCTGGTATATACTAGCAGCTACCTCAGAATTCTGTTGACTATATTTTACAGAGAAACCTTTTAAATAAACGGCAATTTTTAAAATCTAGCATCATCTAAAAATTGAATTTATCATAAAGGAATTAAACTATTAAAAAAGAGATGA